TAAATGTTTAACTCACATGCCTGTACATTGTTTGGCTGGAAACCACAGGTGTGGGTTCAATTCCAGAAGGTCTGATTTCTTGACTGCTGCTTCAATGGGTGCTGATTGTGGAACCAAGTAATATGAAATCTTTGACAACTTCAGTCTTTGCTCCATTTATTGTGATGATGCTTATTGTCCCGTTGTGAGGATTTTTTTTTTTTTTTCATCTTTATGTTGAGGTGTAATCCATACTGAAGACTGTAGTCTTTTATCTTCATCAGGAAGTGCTTCAAGTCATCTTCACTTTTCAGCAAGGAAGTTTTGGTCATTTGCATATAGCTGGTTGTTGATGAGTCTTCCTCCAATCCTGATGCTGTGTTCTTCATATAGCCCTGGTTCTCAGATTATTTGCTCAGGATACATATTGAATAATTGCAGGGAAATTATACAACCTTGACATAGGCCCTTCCTGATTTTAAATGATATAGTATTCCCTTGTTCTGTTCAAATGACTGACTCTTGGTCTACATACAGTTTCCTCATTAGCACAGTTAAGTGTTCTGGAATTCCCACCATTCACAATGTTTTCCATAATTTGTTATGATCCACACAGTCAAGTGCCTTTGTATAGCCAATAAAACACAGGTAAACATCTTTCTGGCATTCTTTGTTTTCAGCTAAGATCCATCTGGTATCAGCAATGATATCCTTTACTCCACATCCTCTTCAGAATCTGGCTTATATTTCTGGAAGTTCTCTGTCAATATTCTGCTGCAATCATTTTTTAATTACCTTCACTGATAAACAAGTTGTGGAAACATCACCTAGGAGGCCTTAAGATACAGAAGTCTGGGCTTCTCAGCCACATGAAATCAGAATCTCTGGAGTTGGGTTCCAGAAATCTATAATGTTGAAAGATGTATACATGATTCTGCACCTTTAGAAGGCACTGATCTCAGCTACCTTGGTTGAGAACTTGTTTGTCAATCTATAATTTGGGCCACATTTCTTTTTGTATTCAAAAGGATATTGTGAGAGTAGGTAATAAATGATCAGCTATATAAAATGCTCTATGTCCGTGTGATTCTCTTGGCTTATCTGTCTAGTAAACCTAGCAAAACAAAGAATGGAAGAATTAATTAATTATTCAGAAAATCTCTTTGCCCTTTTTATTGTTGGAGAGGATGATAAGATAGGAAGTAGGACTTTGAGCTACCAAATTTTACTTACTTTCCTGCTTTAAAAATTTGGCATACACTAGATCAGAAAAAATTGTGTCCTTAAATTACATTCACTAAGTGATTAATAGAGGAACTGGAGAAGGACGTCATGCTTGATAAAATAGATGGTCAGTGAAAAAGAGGAAGACATTCAACAAGATGGATTGACACAGTGGTGACAATGAGCTCAAGCACAGCAATGGTTCTGAGGATGATGCAGAACCGGGCACCGTTTCATTCTGTTGCACGTGGAGTCACTAAGAGTTGGAACTGCCTCAATGGGATCTAACAACTACAGGTCTCAATATTGTTTTAAGGTACTATAAGTACTATAATATTTTATAATATTTTTAATAAAGAATCTAAATAAGGAAATTATTTTTCATGCTCCTACCTTTACACATAATACATGAAGATGATTTGTAACTCTTTCAGAAATACAGAGCATGTCCATACTTAAGTGTTTCTGAAAATCTTTTATTATTTTATATATCATAAAATAAAATAAAATTACATACCTGTCTTCAATAGTTGTTAGATAAGCCTTCTCATTTCTGCAGGTTTGGTTTGCTTCTGTAAATGTTGAAAGTGTGTGTCCAATCAAATAGCAGTAAAATCCATGTCTTTTCCAGCCCTATTAATTTATCAAGCAATAAAAAAAAGACCTGATTGCACATATATTACATAATATTATTTTTGTAATTCCCCTGAGAGTATCTTGAAACATAAATTAATAAATAGAAATGTCTAAAGAACACAAATATGAATAATTTGAAATGCAATGATAATTGTTTACAAGACTAAAGAAAATATTAATGCATTATTTCTCATATGGCAAATTATGATACAAAAAATGGGAGGACGGAATCTCTTCACTTGCTGACATACCTTCCAACAAAAACTATTCAAGAAATGTTTACTGGAGAAACTGAACAGAACCACTAAGATTTCAGTTTTAGAATATGTATCCACAGAAATTACTCTGGGCAATAGCAAGTCTAGTTTCCTGTTGAGACCAATAGTAGACGGTGAGTGTAGAGCTACATCATGTAGTCATAGGAGAGTACTTTTCAAACTCCTGGCAACATGATTTTGCATGGTTCTTCTGTCAGACTTAAAATACAAATAAAGGCTAGACAAAAACATAAAACCAAAAAATTCTATAATAGATTTTCAAAGAAATAAGAGGAAATCACTAGGTACCAGCAAAAAGGAGAAAACTAAAAGCTGGAGCAGAAAATGCAAAATTGAGATTATCGTTGCCCAGAGGTATATTAGACCTAGATTAAGGCCCTAGGGTCTAGGAGCTGAGTTCTTAACGCCTATACAGTTTAGGATATTTGGTCTTTTTTGCCTATGAGGCAGGGAGATGGAACTGAGGTCCTTGAGTAAAGATGATACCCACTAAGTGTAACCCTTCTAAGAAAAGGGAGCTAGAAAAGTCTACCCACAGAACCACAAAGTAACAAATATTCTTGTCATCTGTCTGGAGTTCTAGATGCAGGGAAAAAAAAAAATCTTCTTTTGGAAAATAAAAACCAAGTTTGTGCTACAGATTGGTGTTGGGTCTACAGATGATTTCCATCCAGGTTTACAACTTTACACTATCAACATAAGTGTGGATCCACAACAAAAAATTTAAAGTAAATCTTGGTCTGGAAAAGGAAAATTTCTAAGGCACCCAAAGAAGCAAGATGCAAATCCACTCAATAGACTCATGAGATTATAACATTTGGTGGAAATGAGTGGGTGCAAGCACATCAAATAAGGACTAACTGATCCTTCAAAACTGCATCATGAGGAGGCGGACATCAGACAGCATCCTGCTAATATACTCTGTCCAGTCCCGCTACAATGGAGACCCAGAAAAACCAAGTGAAGCAGACACAAATAACGATCCTGGAACTATGAGCATCAAATGAGAGGATAAAGAAGTAGACTGAGTGCTGATTGGAAAGGGAGAAGGAGGGAAGTCAGTGATTTGGGAAAGAACAGAAGCTGGGAAAGGCTGAAGTGTTGCCATTTTAAGCATAAGGCATCAGATGTGGAGGTAGAGAAAAGAACTTGATGGAATCCACATGGCTTTAAAGACACAGTGAAAACAGATCGGGAGGAATTCAAGGTGAACAGAGCAGGGAAACCGATCAGACTTACAGTGGCACCGGCAGCCATGGAGTGAGGAGGAACCCACAGAAAGGGAATGAAGGATGTCACCACAAGTAGACACTAGTCATCTGGCCTGAGGACCTATGCAAGGGGAAAAGCCTGTGTTGGGGTGGTTGGAGAAGCTAGACTCAGAAAAACCTCTCACTTTTTTTAATCTGGGCTAGAGCTGGGTAAATGGCTGCATGTATCAGAAAGGCATCAGACCCACGCCAGTGAATTACGACTAGATAAGTAAGTACACTCTCCACTATAACAAATAGACACACATAGGGGTAAATTTCCCTGCATATAGGGGTAAATAGTCTTTCTGCCTCCACCAATCTGGTGGCTAGGGAAGCCCTCCCCTCACCCACTCAGATCCCTGGCCACCCCCACTGCAGCCCACCCACCCCCATCAATATACCTCAAGCAGACAGAGCCAGGGGCTGAAGCCTACCCACCTCGTGCCTGAGTTCTGACAGATCTTTTTCATGCTGAATGCAAGAGGAACAACTCTGCAGCCTCCACTTTCAGAAGTGTCCACTCGCACTAGGCACATCCTACTTCTACAAGGGGAAAGATTTGTATTGAGACTGTTGGAAAAGCTAGTCTCAGGGTGGTCTTTCATTTGAGTCCAGTCAGGAGTTGGATAAATGGCTGTATGTGCCAAGAAGGGTACCAGAACCGAACCAGTGAATCACGAGTGGCGAGCTACATTCTCCTCCCAATAAGCACAGCTTCCCTGCAACTAGGAGTGAAACCTCTCCCTGCCCCCACCAAGCCAGTGGATAGGGAAGTCCCACCCAGATCCCCCAGCCACTTCCTCTGCAGCCTAGTGACCAACAGCAACCCATTTTAAACAGACCCAGGAGCTGCAACTCCCCCTTCCTGTGATTATGTCACTGGCTGATCTTTTTTACACTGAATGCAAGAGGTACACACCTGCAGCCTCCTCTCTTGGAGGTACTCACTCACAACAGGCTCCTTCTACCTCCATGGGTACACGCTGCAGGGGATCAGTGCTTTGCACCACAACTGCCTGCTTCCAGGGCTGCCAGTTGACTATAAGTCCCTCCTTCTCAGCTTCCTTATTTTCCACTTATTTTTCTCACTTTTCTCTTATTCCCAATTTTTCTTCCTTTTTATTTGTTCATTTCTCCATTTTCCACCTCCTTTTCTTTCATTTTAACCCTTGTCTTTCTCCTTGTCCACCACTTCCTTTTCTTTTACTTTTACTTCTTTTTCTATACTTTTTTCTTTTATTTTTATTCCATTTTTTTTTCTCTTCTTCCCCTTGGGTTATTTTTTTCTTTCCTGCCTCATACAAAGGGAGAAGCCATTAATTCTCCATAAATACTGCACTAACTACCTTACCCAAAGAAAGAGCAAAACACTACCAGCTCCTGCACCACTGAATCAATGGCAGACAATGGACACCTGCTCATCACACCTACCGCTCCTCTTCACAAAAAACAGAGACCTATGTGAACACTTCCGCCAGTTATTTCACCAACCCAGAGACAGCTGGGGGGGGGGTTGCCCCAGTGCTAACAAGCTAACAACCAAAGAAGTACACCTGCTTTACCCATCCAGACAACAATTAGAAATCCAGAATATTAATTCTAAAATTACAGAGATAGAAAACACATTGGAAGGACAAAATAATAAAATAGAATTAGCTGAAGAACTCAGTTTGAAGACAAATCCTTTGACTCCATTTTGTATGAGGAAACATCAGAAAAAAAAAGATTGAAGGAAATGTAAGAGTTATATGGGATGATATCAAGAGAAATGACCTATGTGTAATTATCTTAGGAAGATAAAAATTTATTACAGGGTAATCACAAAGAAAATTAATAAACCTTCTAACCAAAATAAAAAAGAAAATCACAAAGACTTAGAAAATACAAGATCAACAACAATGAAGAAAAAGAATAAACCTGATAAGAAAATGAACTCAGTATAGAAAAATATTCAGAATAGGGAAAAAATTGACACCCCCAATAAAAAGCACAAAAGAATGACAGCAATAAGTTCATACTTATCAGTAAGTACATTGAATGTGAATGGATTAAGCACACCAATCAAGAGAAAGAGAGTGACAAAATGGATAAGACAACAAGACCTATCAATAAGTTGCTTACAAGACACTCCTCTTACCTGCAAACATAAAAATAAATAAATAATCAAGGGATAGAAAAAATATCAAGTTAATTGCAACCAAAACAGAATAAGGAGTGGCAACATTAATTTCTGATAAAATGGACTTCAATGGCAAAAACCAATGTAAGGGACAAGAAAGGGTATTATATGATTATAAAAGGGTCAATCAGCTGAGAGGACATTACTGTAATAATTAATCAATGAACTCAATGAAAGAGCTCCAAAATACATAGAGCAAACATTAACTAAATTGAAAGGAGAAATAGAAAATTCCACAATAGTAGTAGGAGACTTTAACACACCACTTTTAGAACAGCTAAAAAAAAAAAAAAAAAAAAAAACCTCAGCAAAGATATAGAACATCTCAGGAAGACAATTAACCAACTTGATGTCATAGATATATATATACAGAGCACTCCACTCAACAACCAAAAGAGTACACATTCTTTTCCAGTGCACATGGATCAACAACAGTAATAAGAGAGGGTCAAAAATAAAATACATGGAACCAAAAACACACTGCTCAAGAACTACTGGGTAACAGAAGAAATATATTGTGAAATAAAAAAATTCCTAGAAACAAACAAGAATGAAAACACAATATACCAAAATCTTTGGGACACAGAGAAACCAGTATTCAGAGATCAATTTGCTACAATAAACAAACACATAAAAAAAGAAGAAAGAACTAAAATCAATACTTAACCCAACACCTCCAACAATTAGAAAAAGAGCAACAAAAGAAGCCTACAGTTTCCAGAAGAAAGGAAATAATAAAGACCAGAGCAGAAATAACAGAGAAAACAATAGAAAAAAACAACAAGCCTAGAAGCTGGTTATTCACAAATTAACAAAATTGACAAACCAATGGCAAATTAAATTAAAGAGGACATGCAAATAACACCAAAAAGAAATGAAATGGGTGATGTCACAATAGAAACAACCAAAATAAAAAGGATAATAACAGAATACTATGAAGAAATGTACTCTAAATATTTTGAAAACCAAGAAGAAACAGACAAATTTCAGGAAACACATGACCTACCTAAACTAACACAATTGAGGTAGAAAATTTGAACAGACCATACAAAAGAAGAAAAATTCCCCACAAAACAAATCTTGACCCAGTTGACTGGCGAATTCTATTAAATGTTCAAAGAGCTGACACCTATCACACTCAAACTGTTTTGGAACATAGAAAAAGATAGAATACTCTCAAATTCATTCTATGAAGCAAGCTTAACCCTGATACCAAAAACAGGGAAAGACACCACTAAAAAGGAAAACTATAAACCACTATCTCTCATGAACACAGATGCAAAAATA